GGTGAAGGCAGGTTCACCTGGACAGGTAACCAGTCTATCACAGGGCTACACTTAGAGACAGACAACCAAGCACACTCACATTCACACCTATGGACCTACAGATAATTTAGAATCACTGTGGGAGGAAGCCGGAGAACCCGGAGAGAACCCACGCTGCACAGGGAGAACATGGAGACTCCACACAGACAGATCCCAAGTGTCCTCACCGGGACGCGAACTGGCGACCTTCTAGCTGCGAGGCAACGGTGCTAACCAACTGCGTCACCTTGCAGCCCACAGTACATCCAGCTTCATAATAATTTTTAAATTCACTGGTACTTGCTTCTTTCCCAGTTTTCAGAGACTATAAACAAAACATTATTGTTCAGAAAAAACACTGACCTCACTGTATTAATCCTACTTTATCCAAGGTTTTGACACAGAGGCCCTTTCCAAGACCACAGACAAAACCTGTCACAGCTAATGTGCTACTTTAGTGGTATGCATATGTGTGTGTGTGTGTGTGTGTGTGTGTGTGTGTCTGACAAATAATCTGCAAATAACTGAATCATGTAGACCAAAGTAACACAGAGTAAACCTGGACAGTTGCTCACTTTGAAGAAAACAAGCAGCAGGAAGCAGAACTTCAGCACCACGGACAGCGACATTCAGTTTCTACTCTGGTTTTTCCTCCTCGTTGCTGTTTTTAAATCTGTTGTTACGAGGTTCAAGTTTCTGAAACTCCTCCAGAAACCAGACAAGTGACAGAAATGGATGATAATGTTTCAGCTCTGTTTTTCCCCCCTCTGCTTGGCAACTACTTTAAATAGGAATCTCAATTGAATTGCAGCGAGAAGAGCACCGTAGGAAAAAAAAAGTTAGTTAACAGTTTAAAAAAAAAAATTCTTTTGAAGTTTACAGTTTACTGTATTTGTTTTTATTCAGTTTTTTTGTTTGTTTTTTGCAGATTTTTCCTGTTTTGGTAAAATTACAGGCAACAACGAATAAAATCTGAGAGAAAAAGAAGATTGATTTACAGGTAAATTATTAAAAAAATATTTTAAAAAAAGAACAAAGGGTACAAAGGTTAATTCATTCATTTGCAATGTTCAAAAATACAGTTTTTATTATTTAAATCAGCAAAAATGTAATTATATGAGACATTTACCATTATTTACAAAAAAAACCTATATCATTTTTAAGTGTTATTTTACAGATTTACCCAGTTTCATTAAATTTCACATAACATCCTGTAAACTCACATAAAAAGTATGAATTTACAAGTTGACTAAACATTTAAAAAAACAAAAACAAAACAGGCAGAACTATAAATTACATCCAAATTTTTAAAAAATCTGTATTTTTTCAATAATAAGTCCTTCTTTTACAATGTGTGGTTATAAAATTACACCATTTAACTGCATTTAAATCAGCTAAAAATCTAATCTTTTTTTACAGATATTTGCCATCAGCCTTTTTTTTTTCTTTTTTTTTTCTTTTTTTTTCTTTATTAAAAATTAAACATATTTTTTCTGGCATCCTGTTGCCAGATTCAAAAGAAGAAGAATAAGTCTGGTCTCCATCATGTCCCCTGTGACTTTTCCTTTCCTTATTCATAACCGCACACATAAACAACCACCATTCACTGAGTCTTTTTCTGTATTACATCTGTGTGAAACAACATGGATCACGGTTTTACTGATATAATCCCACTGCAGCCTTCAGAATCAGTGTAGCAGCGTTAATTCAGCCGGCCTTCACAGCTTCAGTAAAAATAAGTTCTGCTGGATAATGGTGTCGTGTCGTCAGGCTTCACACCATTAACAGACTCCTCGTTCATTCAGCTACGAGTTTCTGATCTTTAATGGAAAAAGAGAAGGTGATGAAAAAAATAAAACTTCAGGAAGTGCAAAGTTCTCTTTTCAGCATGTTTCTGTCTCAGGATGATGCAACGTTTCTGGAACCTGCAAACACAAAGTCAAAATCATTCAAGGTCGTTCTTTCCTGTAGAACAGAAAGTTTTCTTCTGTCGTGGGCTTGAGTTCAGTCCACTCACTTCCTGTTTTATTTTGTTAGGATCCTCCGTCCTTGTGTGTTTTTTACATCCTCCCTTTGTTCCGTTTCCCTCCTTTTTGATTGAAGCTTCACCTGTCTCCCTAATAACTTCTAAATAGTCTTCATCAGTTTGTCCCGTTCTTCCTTTTGTGCTTCAGTCCAGCTCACTGTAGTCGTTGTGTTCTTCAGGTGTTTGGTTTTCCCTTCAATATTCACTTGGACTTTTAATTTGGATTCATTCCTGGACGTCCAGTCGTCTTGTGTTCTTGTGCTCTCCTGTTATCCTGCATTACTAGCTTTTGACTAGGTTTCATTAAAGTTCCTTTTATACTTTCAGCTGCCTGTCTGTGGCGTCTGTATTTGAAACCTTTCCTGCTTTGTTTTAAGCATGTGACACACCTCAGGGCTTCTGTCAAACCCGATCTTGTGTAGTGGGCTGCAGATTTCCCTCAAGATGGAGCTCTTTGGTAATTCTGCGCCACCTTCAGGAAGGAGAAGTAACTGCAATTTAGACTTGCATACGTTGAGGTCGCCATCTACTGGTAAAGAAAGCCACTGCAATTTTAAGATGAACAACTGCTGTTTTATAGATTCTGTTATATATTATTTACTGTAAACCCCAACATGAGGCTTTGTTGATGTACATTAGGGAAGGAGAAGATGTCTTTGGGGAAAAAAAATTTAAAAATTCTGGAGAAAATTAAGTTTAACAGCAGATTTGTAAAATATTTAAAAACCCACTCCAACAAGATTTTCTTTTTTTCACCCTGTA